CAATGCTGTCTGTCCAGCACAAAGGAAACAGAAATTAATTTTGTTCATGTTTTTCAAGTTCTTCAAATAAATATTTCAGTTACTTTACACTGTAGTATACAGTGAAATTTGGTTCATAATGTTCTGGCTTTGGAAACATTTTTAAACATAGATAGAAATGGACCAATTTTTGATGGGACAAAGACTAAATGATTCTCAAGTAGAAGAGGGTGTTTAGAGAAACGGAAAAAATCCACATCTGAAATTCAGTATTTCCAAAGCTTTTACTCTACTCTTTCTAAGGAATCATTTGAGATATGGGAATAGATTAATTCCTGCAGATAAAACTGTTTCGATTTATGAATATTTTGGATGATGAACTACTTTCAGGAATGAGCATCTTGTGAATGCACACCAAGGTTTCCCTGTATCTTTTGGTTTAGAGATACTTGTGCACAAACTAAAAAGCAGGTACACTTACCCACAAGAAACATTCATTGCTGGATGTGTAAAAATAGTTTGTATAGTTTAGTGGCAATTTTGTATAAAACCACATTTTCTCGATTACCTTTCTGTAACTTGGAACAGCAGAAGTATTAACTTGCTTTAGAAAGTTAAGTTTAAAACTACCAGACTGCATGAGTATATATTTTTAACAAAACGTTTATATTATGTATGTGTCAATGTGTAACGATTGGTAATCTTAAGAAGTCAAGTACCTTTAAAATGTCAAAAAATCCCCAAAATACAAAACATTTTAAAGCTCAACATCTTTATAACTGATCTACGAATGTAAAATTTTATGCAGTACTTATTTTGATATCCTTGATAATTTTTTTTCGTGTTTTTCTTTTGTAATCCAAATATTTAAAATACTTTAAATAAAATACCTTTTTCTGTCATCCACATAAATATTGCAATATGCACTGCATGCAGTATTATATAAAAAAATCAATACTTTTAGCTGATTTTTTCCCCTCAAAATAGAAAAATAATGCAGAATTAAAATTACATATGTTAAAAGTAATAAATTTATATCTTCTTAAAAATTAATACTTTTAAAAAAATTTTTATAACCCCCAAACTGATTATTTTTTAACATAATTTCTAAAATTTTTAGGCAAGAAGCATAGAAGTTGCTCATTTTAAACTCACTTAGGGTTCATACAGTTGGCGAAATCATTTTGGAACTTCTGGAAAAAATTAAGTTCGCGAACCAAAGTTTTACTGCATATTTACTTAGTGTTTATGGTGCTAAAAGGCAAAGAGAGAAGAATAATTTATTCAGCAGTCGAAGAAAGCTAAACTAGTATTTAGATTAAATCAAAATTAAGTTTATAATGTCACTTAACAGGAAATATAACAGGAGTTTATTCTTGTCAGATGGATGTCATGCCTGTGAGAATAACAAGTACAATTTGATTACCGCAGCATGACTGAGCATGTGAATAACTACCCACAATTTAGAGTAATTTATTAAAAAATTAGGTGGATGAATATAGAATAAGATACACAATACAGATATTTCACATTATTTTTTTTTGCTGTTTATTTTATCCATTGTCCCAACAATATAAGTTTTAGGAAGTGAAAAATTACTTTTTAGCAATCTAAGCCAATATTTTGATTAAGCAGATCATCATTTGTAATTAAATTGTTTGATTACACTTTGTTCTCTTTAGCGCATTTATTTACTCATTTATGTATAAAAATATTAGTGTCATCATATATATAGAATTTTATAGTAAAGCATAATAAATAATTATTTTAATATTACTGTGTGTATATATAATTTTATGGTACAATATGGAAACCACTGTACCATAATTAATTTAGTACATTTAACTTTCCTGTCAATGTATTATTATTGTTGTATTATATATATAAATAATTATTCAACTATTATATTGTTATTGTTTAATTTTTACTATTAGAGATTTTATTATAATAAAAAATAATTAGTACCACAAAAAATATTTTCACTAAAGAATATAATTCAGCTGCAAGTGCAAAAGTCATCCAACAACCATCCAAGGGACATTTGAAAAGGGATAAAACAGCTTCCAGGACTGTGAAAAAGAAGCATCACAGCAAAAGGACGTTACTCTGAATAATGATATAACTTTGCGAGTACGTAACCATTTTGTGTCTTTAATCATTCCATTTGAATGGATCGTACCAGAATGTGCTAGTAAATGGTGACCCATGAAAAGTACTCAACCTCCAGCGATAAATATGACAAGATGGACACCACGTTTTTGACCCGATGTGTATAGAAGAAATTAACAGGAGGTCAAAATAAAGCTGGAACACTGCTCTATTTGGTGACCCAATCACTGGTGAGATAAAAAAGTGGTCCCCAACCCCCTGTCCATGGGCCGGTACCAGGCCGCGGGCCACCCATTTCATTGAAAGTGAATTTAAATTCCTAGATTTATACCCCAAATTAAAAACATCTGTGTTTCATGAAAATTTTATTTATTTAAAAAAAAGGGGCTCCCGAAGGTAGTGACATAATGTTTTAAAAAAAGAAAACCAAAGCAACTATTTTCTCTTTCAATTAGTTTTAATAAAAAAAAATCAATCATCCTAACTATAAATATTATAAATAAAACACGAAAGTGCAGCGTGAAATTTGCATTGGAACTAATGAAGAACTTTCTCATCTTTTCTCTTGATCGTGACGTCACACACAGCGAGAAAGTAGTAAGGCTGAGAGAGAAGCTTCGCCATTTAGTCGCCCAAAGACCACGTGACTATGATTCCTCTCTACTGTTTTGTGTGCTTTATGCGGTTTTGTTTAAAATGATTTAGTTTGCTCTACAATTAAAATGAGTGGGTTTTCTAAAATGAACTGTTCTCATTGCTCAAGAGTTGTAGCTGAGGTAAAGAGAAGCACCTTTGTATGACTCTTCTCTCTGTTCACCAGTACTTTCTCATGTTTAACAGTGCTTGGTGTACGTGCGTATTGCGTCTGCTCAAATTTAACCCACAAATTAGCAAAAATAAGTATGAAACAGACGTCATTAGAAAGTTTCCTTGGGAAAAAGAAAAGGCTCAGTGAAGAGACAGAAGAACAGCCTTTAACATTAAAGAAATATGTAACTTTCAACAGACAATACCACGAGTCCTACTTAAAATATGGTTTTATTGGAACAGGTGATTCTTACAAACCAAAACCACTCTGCATAGTTTGCGGCAACCAGCTCTCTAATGAAACCTTCAAAACTGCTTCGCCACTTGAACGCCAAGCACCCTGGATTAAAAGACAAGTCCCTGGAGTATTTTGAAAGAAAAAACGGGAACATGAAGGACAGAAGAAATTTATGAGGGCCACCATGTCAATAGAGGAGAATGCACTAAAAGCATCATATTTGGTGACAAACCTTGCTAAAGCTAAAAAGCCATTCACTATCGGTGATGAATTAATCTTGCCCGTCACTAAAGACATTTGCCGTTAACTTCTACGAGAGGCTGCTGTGGAAAAGATAGTACATGCGCCTTTCTCGTCTAACACTTGAAGAAATAGCCAAAGATATTGAGCTGCAATTGTTGGAGAGGATTAATGCATCACCGTGGTACACACTCCAGGTTGACGAATCTACAGATATCGACAACACGGCAATACCACTTGCTTATGTGCGATATTTATATCAGGAGGATGTTCATGAGGATTTGTTATGTGCACTATCTTTGCCAACCAACACCACAGGAGCAGAACTGTTCAAGGTCACTGGATGGTTGTTTATCAGAAATAAAATGGTCTTTTTGTGTAGGCACAGACAGAGCTGATGCCATGACTGGACGACTCTCTGATTTAACTGCTCGGATTAAAGAAGTTGCACCTCAGAGTGAATCCACACATTGCCTCATTCACAGGGAAGTGCTTGCAAGCTGATAAATGTCACCGGAATTTAACAGTGTATTGATTGATGTCGTTAAAGTTATTAACTACGTCAAAGCACACACCCTTTATTTGTGCCTGTTTGAGCAGCTTTGTGAGGAGATGAATGCAGAGTACAGATGCATTCTGTTATACACAGAAAAAAGATGGCTATTCAGAGGAAAATCGCCACTCAGAGTATTTGAATTGCGAGAGCCATTGCACAGATTTCTCTTAGAAAAGAAGTCATCACTTGCAGCACATTTCAGTGACAAGATATGGGTCACCAAACTGGCTTACCTGTGTGACATATTCAACCTGTTGAATGAATTCAATTTGTGCCTTCAGGGGAAAATGACAACTGTTTTCAAGTTAGCAGACAAAGTAGCTGCATTTAAAGCCAAGCAAACTAAAGTTGTGGGGACGGCGCATGAACAGAGGCATTTTCGACATGTTTCAGACATTAGTGGGGATTTTAGACGAGACTGAGCCTGAACATTCAATTTCCCAGTTGGTTCCCGATCACCTGCTTTGCTTTTAAAAGAGTTCGAGCGTGACTTTCCAACCACAAAAGACCCCCCCCCAACTGGTAAAGAATGGATCTGCGACTCATTTGTCAACAAATCAAAGGAATCTAGTATGTCTGTGCAAGATGAAGTTCAAGTTGCAAATAATGGTGGCCTTAAAACTATATTTGAGAACAGCAACTCTGCCGGTGTTCTGGAAGTCATACAGTACAAAATTTGTAATCCAGACGTCCATTATCCGGAATTATCTATAATCCGGACCTCAAAGCAACGAACTTTTTTATTTGTATGCTTTACGCATGCGTGTTTAACGTTACGCACGCACGTTTAATGTTTACGCATGCGCGTTTAGCACAAAAACGAAGCAACTTAAATAACTTACATTGAAAGAAATGCTTAATAAAGTAAACAAATAAATATTAAGCTTTTTTCTTGTAAATTTTGATACCCTTTAGATCATAATTGCTCTTTATTTCATAAATTACGGTTTCATATTTTTAATTGTATAATTTCTGCATGCCATCTTACCAGATTTAAATTGCTGATATATAATCCAGAAAAAACCTTAATCCAGAATCGCCGAAGTCTCGACGAGTCTGGATTACGGACTTTGTACTGTATTTTTTTTTAGTGTAACTGTATTTTATTTTGAAGGCATGTTTAAATATAATTAAATTTAAATTAATAAATAAAAATAATCTAAAATATAAACAAAAAACGTCCCCCCCCCAGCGGGCCGTGGTAAAAGTATCAAACATTAATCGGCCCTCGGTGATAAAAAGGCTGGGGAACACTGAGATAGAATAGTCAGCAGACAGAGAACAAGGCCTCTTCCAAACAGCTTGGTACTGATACTGGAGGAGGGCAACATTTTAGTGGGCCATCCTATATAACTGATGCTAGACAGATATATATCTGGCTACTTTTTAATGAGCATTCTACATGACTGAGCTGTAGATATCTGGAGGAATCAATCATTTAACAATCACCAAAATGCACCCATGTGAATGCCTCACCTCAACATTGCAAGTGCAGACATTCTTATGGCCACAACTGACAAAATTATCAACATTTATGCTACAATAAATATTTTAAAGCCATCTTTCTCTGAAGAAAAAAAAAAAAAAAAAAAAAAAAAAAAAAAAAAAGAGAGAAATCACTTGAAGATGCAGGATTTTGAAAACTATCATCACACACCTACCTAACACACATTTCGCTTATTCGATTGGGATTTTGAGCTAGCGAAGTTGAGAATTTCTTTACTTTTTAAATCTTTGTTTTTAAAAACTTGGCTTATATTGCTTCTGAGCTGGTAGGAATCCTTCTTTAATATAATGCATCTTAAAATTTTTAAACTATTGTTATACCTTCTGGTATTGTGGCTCGGAGAAGGATTATTATCAGAGTCTCTCTCTGAAGGATTTTCTGATGAAACTGCAATTTCATCGACAGAATCACCACCTGGTGTGGAATTCTGGTTGTGAGGACCATCACGGGTAGTACTTTGGCTGGAGGCAAGAGCAGCAGGCTCTTCAGAATAATCATTGGACGGCACCGTTCTTTGGCTGGAAGCTTCTGGATTTTCAGGCGACTCGTTCCTCGGCCGGGAATTGTTACCTTGGTTTTGATTATTGGCGTTGTTGGCCAACTGAAACAGCAGAGGTAGTTCATATTGATGGAAAAAATGAATCATGGAGTGCTGGGGAGAAAAAGAAAAAGAATTTATGTACAGGTACCAGTCACATTGTTTTTCTTTCTTTTTTTCCTATATCAGAAGTTTTGAAAATATTTCAAATGAATTAAGATTGGGGTGATGGTCTCTGGTGCATTAATGGAGCGAGTTCATGTGGTAAATAGTGTTGGTTGCATATTACTTACTGCATTTAGAACTAAAACACATTACACATTTACATTATTTATTTGCGAGAAGCTTTAATAACAATACAACACCAACAACTGAAAATAATATCAAATATACAGAAACAATTATCTGTAAGATAAATATTTCCTTCATTATACGAGGATCTTGCTAATAAGTCTCTCTAGTCAAGAGTCTAAGAATGTTCTGATACATTGCTTTGTCTGAAACAGTTTACAGACTAAATTAGTCATACCCTTTTAATTTATCAGTGTGTTTTATGTTATTTGATTTATTATAGTCAAAGATGATATCAGAAGACCTACAGGATCATTAGTTCATCAGCCCTCCTGAAATTGAGATGCTTTGTTGACATATACCTGCCATGAAAGTATGGTCTTTGTAATGTGAAGTCTGAACAAATTATTGCTTCAGCAATGTCACAGCACATTCCTCTGACATCTTTTAAGATCATAAAGGGACCAGGTGGGTTAGGCCTTCCTCACATTTCTACCTCTTATAACAGCTTGAAGATTGTGTCTAGTTGAGAACCTAACAGCATTCTGATATCTTGTTCTGTCTGAAACAGCTTGCAGACTTAAATAGTTACACCCTTTTAGCTTTTTGGTTGTGTTTAATGTCCTCTGATTCATTATAATTGAAGGCTGTAGGAGAGGAGCTATACGATGGTTAGTTTAGTTAGTAGGCCCTCCGACTTCAAGAGGCCTTGATGAAAGAGTGGAGAGCACTAAATCCCGACACTGGTCTTAAAGTTTTAACTCTTTTACTGTCGCATGGTGGCATCACTGAACAAGTTATTACACCTGAAATATCGAGTGGTGGTGCTGCCCAGATGGTATAGTGGTTAGGGGAGCCTGACTGCAATACTGAAGAGCCCAGGTTCGAATCCTGGAGAAGGCATGGATGTAAAATTGTCTGTCCCTTCATAGGAGGTAAAGGTAGCCTACCTATTGGGTGCCTCCATAATAAAAAGACCACCACATCTGGCCTTAAGAGTGACAATGGCGACATAGGCAAGTGCCCACCATTGGAAAAAAAATATCGAGTAGTGGCATCACTGAACAAGTTATTGCTCCTGCAATGTCAGAGCATGTTGTGTCACATTTCATAACAGTTTGAAGACTGCAACTTGTGAGAAGACTTTTGAAAATATGAATTTTTTACGTTTGTGTTGTCTACCGCAAGATAAAAAAAGCATACAATATATACACGTAAAATTTTAAAATGCAAAGTAACAGTTGAGCTTCTCCGAATGCTGACAAATGAAATGCTGTTAGTGCAACCACATGGCAGAAATGTTGACAAAATAGTTCTTTAATCATGAAAGTGTTAAAGAATAATTTAGCTGTAAATTTTTTTTTTCTGTACAAGAGTCAACATTTTTTGTACTATTTCTTATATTGTATTATTTCTTTTATATAAAATTTTCTAAATCAGTGTATAGAGAGTGAGGAATTGCATAAAAAGTTAGATTTCATAATTTTTATAAGATTAATTGCTTTGAATTTTAAAATGCCTACACATGAATATTTGCATCATTTAAAACAAATCTGTGACTAACCACTATGTGAGCAGCTACTTAAAAAATAGCTATAACAAAAATAAATAAATAAATAAAAAATAATTTTAAAAAAGATAAAAACATATAATAATTTTAATGAAACCAGCTAGACATTAATAAATAGAAATGAAGATTTGTGTTTCTTGCTTTTAAACTTAGTTTGCAACTAATAACATAAAAATTTAAAAGAAAACTGAAATATCTTGCTGCATGGAAGATAAATAAAATAGCATCAAGTTTCTAACTAAATTTGAAATATAAATATTTAATACTTTACTGCATGGAACATAAAAATATTTTATTTTGGGCAGTGGCAACACATTTCTTTTAAACCGCTGAGTTTGTTGATTAAATCAAGACAAATATATTACATTTTCAAAAGTGATATCGCTGGGTTTTCTGATTAAATTTGAAATTTAAATATCTTACTCTGTTGAATACTGCTATTAAATTGCAGATTAAATTAACATTAAATTTGCAGAAAATATGATATACAACAGGTGCCATTTAATATGAACAAGTTTGTCCACTGTTATTTTGATAACATAACTGAATGATAACACTAAACAAGGGGGGATATATTTCAAAATAGCAATGGAGCTAAGAAATATATAAATAGGCATTTTGACAACATATTAGCAAGGAAAATGCAAAAATTTGTTGAACTGCCTATAACTTTTTCAAAATTATTTGACCTTTATTATTTGAATGATGCTGCAATCCTTACTTTAAAACTTGGAAGTGAACTTGGCAATGTAAAATTTAAAGTTAAGCAAAAAAAGACAATTTTAGTTTGGCATACATGTTTTCAGGGAAAAAAAATTCTGCACTCTTTTTGGTTCTTGATGAAGCACCTAATTCTATCAAAATCTAGAGTTATTAAAAATCCACATCAAACATTTTTTTTTTTTTTCCTAATTTTAAATGTTTGGTGACTTAATCCTACACTTGGTGAAATTTCTCTGCACCTTGGCAATTTTTAAAACACATTTTAAATTTATCTGTCGACATTACCTCAGTTTATATATATATATATATATATATATAATATATTAAAAAAAAAACTATTCTATAATATTTTGATTATATTAACCAAACTGTCAGCATGATAAGTAGCATAATGTTTGTGTTTTCATATTGTCAATCTTGAAATCTGAAAAACCATTACATTTTTGTAAGAAAAGCAGGAGAATTTCATGCTGTCCGGAAATGCCATTTCAAAGAAGCTCATGACTCACTTAAATTCACTTTATAATGCATGATTCAAGTCATTAATTTATTTGCTATACAATTCTGATGTAAAATATATTAGTATTTAGTTAGATATTCTAAATTTTAGGCTCGGTTAATTTTATTTTGCAATTTTCTTTACACTTTTACATCGAGAAAATGCTGAATACAGAAGAAAAACTTTTAATTTATCAAAGCACTTTTAAATACGATGAAAATTTAACTAATAATAATGTATGTAATATTTACCTGGAAAAACTTGTACCATATAATAAAGTAAAATCAATATGAATATTAACTGATTAATCATTGGTTGAATCTCCACATAAAAATCTACGAATGTCTGCAGTAGCTTATGATAATAAATGACAAATTTATTTATAAAATGAAATTTAGTAAGAAAAAGGTAAATAAAATGCAATATGGGAAAGATACAATTAAAATAAAATAAAATTTGAACAAGAAAAATTATTCCAAAAATCACTAGGAATGGTTTGAATTGGTTTATTTAATTATGGCAAAGCTCACAAGTGTTATCTGTCTAAGGGGATGGATGCCTTCATGGAGGACTTTCTAGGGGAAACTGGCTCGTATATATGTTACAAATGGGGAAAACCACAAAAACACTCATGCAGCCTGCTTGTTTGCTGGGATTTGAACCCTGGACTGAACTACCAAAGTTCAGCGACTTTATCGCTTGGCTGCTGGTGGGCCTTTACACTAGGGGTGGAAGAATAGAATTTGCACAACTTATGTTCTATTCATTCAATAAATTTTATTTATTGCTGGGAAAAATTTCCCTTACTATAAAGGCTAAAAGTAAAAACTAGAAGATTTCCGATCTACCAAGAGACATGCAGATGTAAAGAAAAATTGAAGAGTTGGCACCCATGGCATAAAAACGTGTGGACTTCGACCATTCAATGTCAATATCCAAATGATAACATTTACCGTGATTACATTATGTAGCATCTATTGTGACACATAAAACAGTATAACTCATGCAGCTTTGTTTCATGCTGATGGTTTATAATGGAAATTTTATAACTTTTCTTTTACATAGACAGTTTTGTTTTTTGATACTGGTTTATTTATAATAATAATTTCACACACTTTTCTTTTTTTCTTACTTTTCATAGACATTTTTATTTTACTCTTACACATTATACTAATTTTACACATTTTCTTTTCTTTCTTTTTTGAATATTCTGTAGACAGTTTTTTTTTAATGCTTATGGTTTGTTTTTAACACCACTCTTCCATCACTGCAAAATAAACAATCTTAACTTCTTGGAGTCGACTGTATTATCCTAACTCAGCATGACTGAAGAAAAAATGAGAAAATAACTCCCTAGAGAATGGATAGGGTTCAAAGCTCTTATTCGTAAAGAAATTTAGATACGTTGCATTTTACATGATGTTATAATAAAAAAAATATTGTATAAAACCTAGCAATAAAATTGCGACAATGTTACTTCTATTACTATGATAAGTTCACTCACCAAAATAAACAACCACGATGTCAAAAGAGCGAAAGAATAATGACCATTGAATCTGTGGCTGTACGCATAGAAGAAGAAATGGTACAAGTAGAAAAACCTAGAAAAGAATTTTACAAAATGCTATCAACCTAATGATAATATTGCGTATGGATGTTATTGACATTATTAATGTATGTTAATTGACATTATTATGGACGCTATTATTGTATGTTAGCTGACACATATGCTTTACATATCAGAAGTAAACCAATTCACAAGATAAAGCAATATTAAGTGATAAAAATCAGAGCAATATTTCCACATTTTTTACTTTATATAACAATTGAGAACTTTATACAATTTCACTTGATGAATATTACAGAATGCAGATATGTATATATGTAATATTTTTAGGATGTGTGGGAAAGAAGATACCAATTATATCTAATCATGGCCAAGATGTTGTTGGCATACATAGAAACACGGAACTTGAAGATAGACATAGCAGTAGATTCACCACATAATTTTATTTCTTGATGAATAATTTTTAGGACATAAATTCTTGCTTACATATTACTATGGGTGAGACATCCAAAATTCAATGTAACGGATTGCATTATTACATGACGGGAGAAGCAAGAAATGCAAATCAGCATGGCGAGAGGAAGGCAGGAAAAGTTAATGCATATTTCAGCAAATGGTATTTACACAGCTGATTTTTTTGTTTTAACTTTTGAATGGTGATCAGAATTGAACAAACGATTATGAATGGTTCGAAACTAACTGCAATGCAGGATTAATGAGATGCCATGATGCAGATGCAGTAGATTTATAGTTTTAAAATAGGAAGGAACATGGCCAGATTAAAATGAGGAATTAAAAGGTCTGCTGAATTAAAGTTAGTAATTTTCTTTCATATTTTATATCTTACATATTCCTCCTCTTCCCTTCAAAAAGAAAAAAAAGCTTGAAGATAGAAAAGCATTATGGCATTAGCAAATGAAGATAAATTTTGTATAATATATACAATATGTGCTTTTTTTAACGAGAAAGAAAATTTTCTTTAGGGACACAGCCTTTAGGTTTCACTATGACCCATCATTTTGCTCTTGAACTTTCTTACATCTCAACACACAGAAAGACACATAAAAACATCATTTGGAAACATGAATATATATTAGCTTAGATAGTATATAATATATAGAGAGAGATTATATATATATATGTGTGTGTGTTTTTTCATATTTCATATCTTACACAAACACACAGTCTTACAAGAGTTTTTATATTGCAAAAAATTTTTACACGCACACACAAACACGCAGGTAGTTTTTTACGCAATACACATATTTAGGATTGCACTTTGGGAAAAGGAGGGACATGATAGCATCATGTTGACATCTTGTAATTATATCAAGATTTTCCCACCTTGGGACTTTCCTTCCTATAGCCGCAAAGATTTTTCCCACCTTGGCTCTGTGTTTACTACATTTGATCTGTTATTTGCTTTCAGTTGGCCATTTAAATACTGTGGTTATGCAATTTTTAACCCTCTAAGGGTTATGGATGTAAAATTGTATTGAAGGATGGTATTCTCATTCATTACAGATGGAAATTTCTGCTGGATGCTGATCTATCAGATTTGAGGTTGGATATATATAGGAAGAAAAAGCGTACACGTACAAAATGAGGGTCATTTTTGGAATTATAATCAAGAAAATTTCACTTATTTATGTCATTTTGGGGAACTTTGAATTTGCAGGGCCAAAACAATAATGCTCAGAGGGTTAATATGACCAGGCTATGCAAGCCAACTTGTCATTTTGTTCCTTTCACATCCATGTCAACACAGTTGACACTCTTTTCAACTTTAGATTTCACTTTCTTTGGATTTATATCACATAAAATTCAAACAGCTAACTTTCCATCTTTTTCAGAAATCCTCCGTCTTTAAAATTCATGTTCCACCCTTAAAGAAAAAGTTTTCTGTGAGACTATTTGCCTTTTGGTTGCCACACAGAACCTCCACCAAAGAGCCACATAAAGTATCGATGAAGCAATGCACCACGTTGTCAAAATGTATTTATGCGATTCCCCAAATATGGGTGTAGCATCTGTCCAGAGAATTTTCTACTTTAAGCTGCCATATTGGATAACTGTGCACTTTGCTTCTGCTTTTCTCATTGTTAAGACACTGCCACACGGTTTTCTTCCTATCGCAACAATGCCAAAAATGTAAATATTCTAGAATTAGGCATAATTAGAGTGTCAAGTGAACTGTGGCCACAAATGTCAACTGAAATAGAAAAATTAATACTCAATTTGCCTCGGATGCCAAGTTTGCCTTTCATTATGGATCAATATCTTATGCTATCAATATTCTACATCATGATTATGTATATATAAATACATATATATTTTATATACACAAAAGCCAGACTATCTGTCATTCAGCTAACCAGAAAGAGCTCAAGTAAGTGGAACACTTTTACTATTTTAGAAAAAATTTTCGCCCTGTAGAATTTAGTAAATAACAGATTTGTTATCCCATTATTGATTTAATAATACTATTAACATTTATATATTGTTGCCAAACAGTGCGATTTAGAGACAATTAATGGATAATCATGGCACAATCGTAAAATGTTTGTTTTGGTTCAATATAAATTCAATTTATTCTCGATAAGCTGGTTTCATTTTTGCAAAAAGAAAGGTTAACTTTCCCCTCATATTTTGAAAAAATAAATTATTATATAGGACAGCATGAAGTGAAATATTTTCAAAGTTACACAATCCGAATATCAAACAAAGCCATGATATGAAATTTTAAAAACAGATAGATGATGGTGATGTAATGTGAAATGTTATGATAACCAATTTAAGGCTTTTATATTCCATATACATAATTAGTATCTTTTTATTATCTAACTAATTAAAATTTCTGTTCATTTAAACTTCTGCAGGAACAACTCACAACATCTCTGCAAACTTTCGTGCTCAAAAGGATTTTGTAACCAGATCAGATTTTTTTTATCATATTTTGGGCATGTCCCTACAAAATACGCTGGCTTTTATTAAAACTGAAATGGTATTTTGTCAAAATCATGCATATTTTAAATGTAGGTGTTTTAAAAGTCAGTAACAAATAAAATGATTAATTTTATAATTCTAAAGTGGAAATTTTGCCACACTTTTCTAATATGAAATCCATTTTTTTATAAGCTCAACTATCCGGAATTTTTGCGTATCTAGAATTCGGCATTTCTCGAGCTTCTCGGACAGTTAAGCTTTTACTGTGAAACTATATGCACAAATATATGTAAAAATATATGTCCTTTGTCAGAAAAGTTCCAGGACAAAGTTTGTAAAGAATAGAAAATTGCATTTACCAAGTAATGATGCTAGCTGCTGTCAAAGTAGTCCCTTTGCTATTTATACACAAGTGCCAACATTTCTGGATATCTTGGTAGCAAGCAGGGAAATCTTGCTTGCAAACTCACATGCCACAGCCCATTGGATGTCTCTTTGCAATAATCTCGATGAAGTTTTCCTTTCTGACACCTTTTCACTCATGGAAACAAGAAAAAATCACAATAATTTTGGACACAAATGTGAGATCACGTCTGGCTCTATCCATTAGTTTAGCATAAATTCTTTATCTTTCCTCTTTCTGTTCATCTATTAGTGAGTGAGGGACGATTCTTGCATTAAGTTTCCATTTCCTTAAATCTTTGCATAAAATTTTATGACACACATCATGATTCAAATTCAGTTTTTCTGTTATCATATGCACAGTTATATGACTGTCTTCTAGTAATAACTGCCTTACATGCTGCATGTTTGCATCAGTATGTGCTATAGATGGGCGACTAGCTCTGGAATCGTCTTGCACTAAATCTCTGTCATTATGAAACCTTTTATGCCACTCGAAAGCGTGACTTCTTGAAAGTACCATGCCTACAAATATGCTTGCTTAATGATGTTCTACGTTTCAATAGGTGTTTTCCTGATCTTAACACAGAACTTAATGTTTACGCTTTGCTCACAATCAGCATCCATTGTGTTATCTTAATGAATGCAACAACAATTCAAACAATGTGCTGCTAACAAAGCCTTGCCACCTAGCAAGTTTGAGTGGAAACATGGCTAAGGTCATGTCGAGTAAGAATACATACCAACATAAAAACAACATTTCTTCCTTTTTAGTACTGCAAACTCAGGAATAAAATACATTGTCCTGGAACTTTTCTGACAATGGATGTATATAACATATGAAAGAAAACTAATTTCAATTTAGCAATAGTCATTTTAATTTGGTTACCTCCCCTTCCTGTCTTAAAACTATTAATATATGGATTCTGAAGCATGTCATCTAAAAATTAATCTGCATCGTGCCATTATGCAAGAATAGCACTGCAGATTTTTTTTTTATCTAATCATGGTTCAAAATTTAAACAAAAGAACCAAGTCTATAAATACCACCCTTACTAATTTCACAGCTCTTTTTCCTGCTTGCCTTGCTGCTGCTAGCCACATATCACTTTGTTCTCCGCTGTGTCGTCTAGTCTTGTGTTATGCTAAAAGAAATTGTTGGGGGCATAGCGCACCTAAAATGATAATGTGTAAAGAAGAATTTGTGTCCCAAAAATGAGTTACCAAGAATAAAATTATGTGTTGAATTTGGCCACATCTGCAAGTCCGTCATTCTACCTATGCACTAGTCTCTCCAGGTAATTAAATTACAACATAAATAAACATCTCATCTCCAATCATCTTATTATATATATGTGTATATATTGGGTCATACAAAAAGCCTCCACAGTTTTTTGCCACTAGATGGTGTTGATGCCTATATATCTGGCAACACTCACCAGATTGTCTCAAATGAACACGTGGCTTTGTGATGCTTTTTTTGTTATAAAAAAAGAACCCAGGAGTGGTTTGCTTGATTCCATTCCAGAAGTTTTGATGTCAAAGATGCACCTTGCTCTGGTCAGTCAGTCACTGAAAAAGTCGATGAAATTTTTCAACTGGTGGAGCAAGACCGGCATGCAAGCTGTTAGGAAACAGCAGGGGCTCTAAATATCAACCACATGTCAGTGTGGAATCATTTCAAAAGCGCAGGCTACAAAAAGAAGTTGGATGTTTAGGTGCCACATGAATTAATGCAAATAAATTTGAAACCGAATTACCGAATGATGATTGACAAATTACTATCAGTGAAATGATGCTAAAATGCAAAGAAATCGAACCATTTTGAAGCAAATCATTACAGGCAATGAAAAATGGGTGAAATACGAGAATATCAAATGAAAGCGATCATGGTCAAAGGCTGGTCACTCTCCACAAATGACTTCAAAGCCTGGATTGTCGCCAAACAAGTTTATGCTGAGTGTTTGATGGGACTGGAAAGAAATTGTCCATTATAAACTGCTGCAAGCTGGCGAAACTATCAATTCAGCCCTGTACTGGGCACAATTCTACCATTTGAAAGAAGTAATCCAGAAAGAGCAACCAGAATTGGCCAGCAGAAACGGAGCTGCGTTCCATCATGACAATGTGTGGCCACACACATCTTTGATGACTTGGAACAAATTGATGGAAATTGGTTGGGAAGTTTTGATGCATCCACTGTATAGACCGGAACTTGCTTTGTCTGACTACTGTTTGTTTTGGTCTCTGCCTAACTCTGTTGATGGTAAAAAACTTGCCAACCGAAGCCCTACGAAAAATCACTCAAAGTTTTTCGACGATAAACCATAGAAGTTCTACACTGATGGAATTTTGAAGCTACCTGAAAAATGGCAAAAGGTCATAGATAATAACGGTTAATATATACTTGATTAATACTGATTTTCAGTAAAGAAAATTTTTGTTCAAAAATATACCAAAAACTCACAGAGACATTTTATATGGCCCAATATATATATAAATAAAGTTTTAGGGTGTTACAAGATGATGATGGTTTTAAAAACTTCCCCAATCAACAAAGTCTGAAAACTATTTTCTATAAAAGTCACAAGTGATATGTTGTTAGATCTTACTTATTTAGTCAAGCTACATATTTTATTTTTCTTATAGCTGCTAAAATTATTATCCACAGATAAATTCACTACCATTTGCAGATATCAAATTTTTAATTTCTGCAAATGTAAGCCAGTTACAAGCTGAATCATGAAGGTAAACAATTCAAGAATGATTGCATTCATGTTTTCCTACATCCATTGTGTACATACATAAGTGTGGTTCAATTTCATAAATAAATAAAGACAAGACAAAAGAAAGAAATATTTAGAGTGCAGACACAAACCTCAACCAGTATCGTTTTGAGATATTGGACTGGCAGCAGTAGGTATTGAACTGATCGGCTGTCCAGACGATAAGAATGACATAAAAAGCTATTGCCGTGTCATTGAAAAATTCAGCCATGATTGCTTCCATCCCTAACACATAAAGTAATAATATTATATGCCTATAACAGATAAAAAAATTATATATACTGAAAACATAAAGCAAACAAGTGAATTTTGAACTGTGGTATACAGATCCTCAGGGAGTGCAGAAAGATATAGTTGTACTAAAAATACAATAGCACAAATGATTTCAAATTGTGGGATGCATATCATTAGAGAGAACAGAAAAATTTAGTTTAATTTAGTTAAATTAGTGTTTATTAAAGTTTAATTAATTTAGCATATTTATACTAGCTGCTAGCATATAATAGTGATTAAATGGTAAATATAATAATATTGTAAGTAATAGTATTAGTAATGCATTTAATAATAATATAATTTAATTATGATGCAAATAATAATTTAAAATAGTAACTATAAAAAAAAGACAAATATATAATATTTTAATGAGTCCAGCTAGTATTATTTCATAAAAAATCTTGAATATTTCTAATTAAACATCTTGAGATTTAAACACATTTTTATTTAACTAATTAGATTAAAAACAGGAAAAAAAATATTCACACTTTACTATATGCCAACATGTCAGTGCATGAAAGTTAATTTCACGCAGTGGCAACACACTGATTTTAAATAAATAGCAGAGTCAGTTGATTAGAACTGACTTAAGACAAATATCTTACATTTTGCCAAGTGGCAACAGTCTGGTGCATCTGAGAGAAAACTATTTTATTGAACAGTGTTGCCACTGCTTGCTTTCAAAGCTCATTAACAAAAAATTTATTAAATTTTCAAAAAGTATGAAATAGATAAAAAATTAAAATAATATTCTGGCTTTGATGTGTCCATGTTCAGGTGCCAGACTATGTCTGTTCAAAATTTGGTAGCTCCATGAGTCGCCATTTTTTCACAATGCAAGGAACATGCAAACATACACAACCAAAATCTTCATTACATAAGAGTAAAGATTACGGGGATAGTTGAGAATCTTTATTTATTTATTTATGTATCCAAATATTCAATAAATAGGGGTACATTTACAATAATTTAACTTTCTTATTCACTGTATTGGTGAATGTAAATTTAGCAGGCATAATGTATCACAACATCCGTGTGGTGACCGGGTGTGAAAAAACAGTCCCAATTCAGTTCATGCATGTTGAAAGAGGTGACTAAAATGGGTACCCAGTGTCCAAGGGTATAGCTGGGCACATTGCCAGTGAGAATTATATCAGAGGACTGGTCTTCCAGGTTGGTGGTTGGATGTGGGTTAAGTACACCATCCTGTAAAGAAAATCTGGTTCAGAAATCTCAAGGGCTAAATCATGGATGGATAACAACCAGATGACATAGAACGACAATGGAATGTGTGTACATTTCATAAGGATGGAGCACTTAAAAATCTGTTGATATGTTTGACAATTATAAATTAGACACTTTGGCCAGTCAGGAGATCAGAGGACTTGGCCAAGGAATTATGGATAAAAGAAGATGCAGTGTCTTATAAAGCTGTGAGGATAAGCAGCACTGCTTTGGAGTAGAATTTGTAGTTAGAGACAGAACCATAGACTTCAAACCTATAAATGAAAAGATTGTAAAGTGCGGATTCAAGTTTGTCCTCAAAATTAGCGTATGTATTATCAGCATACATGCACCTACTGAGGATGAATTTGATACTATTAAGGATGAGTTTTATGATAAATTTGAAGATTCCAATGACAAATGCTCCACAGTTGATAGAAAACTTGTTACTGGCAACTTTTATGCAAAGACTGGCATGAGATTAGTGGGGGAACTCTGTGGGTTATCACAGTTTATATGAGGAAAGTAATGATAACAGGTTAAGACTTAATGATTTTGCAAATGCAAATAAACTTATTATAAAAGGTACATTTTTTTTAACATAAAAATATAGTCACATGGCACTGCCCAGATGTAGGGGGGAACATAAATCAGATCAATCCTTTCCCAGTGAAGCTAAGACACCGAAAATGCCTTTTGGATGTTTGCAGCTATAGCGGAGCCAATGTTGACTCTGATCACTTTCTGGTGATTTCCGGCCTGAGAGAAAGGATAAGTAAGACTTTTTGGATGAGGCAGAAAAGGGATAGAATCTTGGCTGAACTGATTGATATTATTCATAAGGCTATACTTAAAGTCTGAACTATGGAGCAGAAGCCCATTGAATGGGATGAGAGCTCTGTATGTCCCACTTAATCACTAACCTCCAACGGGTCAATTTTGATACCACTGGGAATCCCATGTCTAGAGTAACAGTTTAAAAATGTATGCATATTGCATGCACAGTTGTACATATGAAATATATTCTTCAAAAACATCTTTTTCTTACTTACCCACTAAAGCCAGGATGACAGTGAGCAATGGAGCTGCAGGGAAATTAACTGAAGAATGGAATTCTAGCATATGCAGAAGCTCAACTGAAAAAGAGAAACAGAAATAAAAACTTTTAATAATGACAAAACAAACTTTAAATATGAAATTAGAAGTTACAGTGGCTCCATTTTGTTTCCAGACGGTTGTATACTTGAAATTTATTTGCCGAGGTCTAGTACTAAATACTGAAACACAGACATAAATTTGTTTCCCAAACATATTATTTTTTCTCTATTTTATGCCTTAATTTCAAAATAAATATCATCAAATAATAAAATAATTTGTTCAAAAAGGGTTAATTAGCAACTCACATAATAATTCAGACACTCCAAATTTTTTTTAAGATGTTTTGGTAGGCATTTTTTCTTGTAATAATTTTCGTTTTAAATAAAAATATATTACACGAATAATTGTCTGTGTTTGGAAAATTTTACTTCTTTAGAAAAATACCGGGTGGCCATAATTAAACTGACACTGCTGACAGTTCTGTAGCGCAATCTATTTGTGAGAATGACGCCACATTTTGTAGGAAGATTAAATAAGATGGGGGATGAAGGATTCCACGAAAAAACAAATTAGTTCTAAAAGTCAACGCTAGGGGAATATTTGGCGCTGTATAATAGAAAATAGAGTGTTAACAAATGCAAATTAATATGGAATAAAATTACCTTTTATTATGCACATTTTCTGATTTAGTTCAAGTGCAATATGGCAACACTTTTAAAAAAGCGATACGAGGAAATCATTTTCATGCAAGATGGAGCTCCTCCACACATTGCTGTATAGGTGCAACAGATGCTATGACAGAAATTCACAACAGAAAGTCATTAGCCCCTGCTTTCCAACTGCATGGCCACCTCAGTCGCCTGATCTTACCTCATGCAACTTCTGGCTATGAGGTTACCTTAAGTCCAAGGTCTATCAAGAAGTGGTCCAGGACCTGGCTACGTTGAAGGATAACATATCACAGACTGTATGGGAGATTCCTGCAGACATGTTACTTTCTGCTGTTGTGCATACTGTGCACAGAATGCAATATGTGGTTCACAACAACGGCAGCCACATTGAACCTCATTTGAATGCAAAATAAAAGGTAATTTCCGTATTGATTTGCATTTGTTAACATTCTATTTTCTATTACACAGTGCCAAATATTCAACTAGCAGTGACTTTTGGAACTAATTTGTTTTTTCGCGGAATCCTTCGTCCCCCGTCTTGTTTAATCTTCCTACAAAATGTGGCGTCATTCTCACAAATAGATCGTGCTACAAACCACTGTGAACACTGTCAGTTTAATTATGGCCACCCGTTATATTAATAGTTCTACATCCAAAGGGAACATATTAAGACATTACAAATTAATTAACAAGTTCTATTAGAAATTTAATTACTCCTCTGTTTTAAAGGTGGCAAAAGTATTCAAAATATTCAAATAATCTTTGACCTAAATCATTTACCTAAATTTGACTTTACAAAGCGATGGCAATTGTTTGGAACTATTGAAAATGCATCAAAATCTGTATTCGTAGCTAACACAAAAGAGATTGCTGATTTATTCTGCAAAAATCAAACAAGACCTAAAAGATAGTATTCTAAAACATTCAGCAGATTAAGAAGAAAAATTTGCGATAAAATTCAACCCTGAAGCTTTTAGAAGAATCATTTAGTGCACACAGATACAACAGGTGATCAGCAGGAAGGAATTTCTTCATCAACAACAACAACAACAACAACAACAAAAAGAGGAAAATACACATGGCATTTCCAAAATCTATAAGCTAATTTTATCATATTCAACTAATATATCATCTAAAGCAATATTTTATCATATTGGAACAAGGCTATATTTTCAGAAAAGTAAACATTTAATATATTTGGATCTGACAGATGAATTAATATGTGGCAAATTCTGAATTAAGAATTGAATTCGAAAAACCTACAGCCAAATCATGGGGCAAATTGGTTTGGGATATTTTGCTGCCTGGAATAAGAAATTTAGTTTTAGTTAAAATAACACAATGAACAACAATTATTGGAAGAGTTAAAGCAACAAGAATCAGCATAATATTCATTAAGTTGCAGGACTAGTTTCAAAGGTTTAAATATAGAACCTTCTTCTTCAGTCTTTCAAATATATATTTTTGAGAAAAATTTATATTTTGGTTGCTGAGAAGCTTGTTTCGATGTGGCAAAAGACATCAGGGCTATCTGTTGAGAGGAGATGGCTCGTATTTACATTATATATGGGAAAACCAATCATACAGCCAGTCTGTTTGCTTGGGCTTGAACCCAGGTCAAACTACCAGGATTCAGCACTCTTAACCACTAGTAGGGCCAACTCATTTTCCAGGATTTTTCATGTGATTGGATATCCTGCACATACTTTGAGAATTAACTGTATATTATATATACATAGATAGACAGATATCATACATGAACCTCAAAATATGAAAAACTTATAACCTCTCATAGCAAAAACAAAGAATTTCCCAAATTTACATACACAATGGCAACAACATTTTAAAAGAATTCCAAATTCTTTTATTTATAATATGCTTCTGATAGTGTATCTGTTAATATGTATACAGTACAAAGTCCGTAATCCGGAATAATCTATAATCCGGACCTCAAAGCCACAAACTTTTTTTTTATATTTTATGCTTCACGCATGCACATTTAATGTATAATGGATGGTATAAGCTATACTAAAATTATCTTTACTGATTCTAAGGCATTTCAGTTAATGTTGCAGATTGCATTGTTCCTTAATCTCCTAACTGGATCCGGCTTATTATTTTTTGAAGACCGTTACAGAAATTTTATAAAAGTAAACTTGAACTTTCGATTATGTCAAAAAAAGAATTTCCGATTCTGGAGCTACCAAAGGATCTACAAAGATAAAAAATGTTTCGATGTCCATCAAACAAAAAGTGGAATTGCTGCAAAAAATGGATAAAGGCATATCCGTCACAAAATTATGCGAGGAGTATGCCATTGGAAAGCCAACTGTATATGACATAAGCAAAAAGAAAAAGTAGCTTTTTGAATTTTTTGTGGATTCCGACACCTCACTTGCAATGAATAATAGAAAAGGGTTTGTTACGCTAAAAGTGATGATCATGACAAAGTGATAATTCAATGGGTCAGACAGCATCGCAGCGAGGGTGTGCCATTGAAGGGTCCAATGCTAATGGCTCAAGCCAAAATATTTCATGAAATGAACTTACACACTGAGTGCACATATTCGACAGGTTGGTTAACCAAATTTAAAAATCACCATTGTATAAGACAAAAATTTCAGGTCAAAAAGCTTCAGCTGACACTGAAGCTGCTGAACAATTTGCAGCTGAATTCATTGAACACATTACTAGTGAATATTTACCTCCAGAACAAATTTACAACGCTGATGAAACTGGTCTTTTCTGGCAATATGTACCACGAAATACCTTAGAAACCTCTACAGAAAACGCTCCTACTGGTGTCAAAGATTCCAAAGCGAGACTAACAATTTTAGCGTGCACAAATGCTGCAGGAACGCACAAGTGCAAACTTTTCGTAATCAGAAAACATGCACGACCTCGAACATTTAAAGGAGTAACGATTTTCCCCCTTATATATTGCGCAATTAAAAGAGCATGGATGACACAAGCATTGATGAATGATTGGTTTGAAAATCATTTTACACCTGAGGCTTGGCAACATTTGAATTCGGTTGGTTTACCTGATGATTCGAAAAAAGTCCTGATTATTGACAACTGTTCGTCGCATACTTCACTTAAATTTTTAGTGAAAGATAATGTATCCGCATTATTCTTCCCTCCAAATTGTACATCTATCATTCAGCCTATGGATATGGGAATAGCACACATACTGAAATGCAAGTATAAAGTAGCATTTTAAAAATCTATGTTAAATTTCTTGGAACAACGGCAAGACTGTTCAAGACTTTTTGAAATTTTTTAGCATAAAATCTGCTCTGTGGAGCATTGCAAGATCATGGGAGGATGTGTCTCCAGATACATTAAAAAATAATTGGCATAATTTATGGCCAGCTACCATATTTCATGGTGAGGACGATGAAGATGATAGCCGCAAATTTGAAGTTTTTTAGACATCGCAAACTAAAGTAAAATTTTCCAGTTATTGGATTTTGTAAAGAAATGTGGAGAAGCAGTAATAAATGAAGATAATATAACAGTAGTTTTTCAATGCGACGACAATGCCCCAATCATCAATTAATTAACGGATGGCGAAATCTGTAGTATGGTTCTAGATCCAGAAAATACCGCTTCCAATAGCGAAGAAAGTGACAAGGAGATTATTGAAAATGAAAAAATTTCGAGTGATAAGTTAGTCGGTATTCTAGACACAGAAATTACACGACTTTGACTTGAACAGTGGAACTTTGTAACTGAACAAGAAACTATGTCTGCTTATAGAATTAAAGAGAAAGTATTAGCACAAAACATGAAGCAACTTAAGCAACTTACATTGAAAGAAATGTTTAATAAAGTAAACAAATAACTATTAAGCTTTTTTTTATTAAATTTTTATACCCTTTAATCATAATTGCTCTTTATTTCATAAATTATGGTTTATTATTCTTAATTGTATAATTTCTGCATGCCATCTTACCAGATTTAAATTGATGATCTATAATCCGGAAAAACCCCTAAACCGAAATTGCCGAAGTCCCGACGAGTCCAGATTACGGACTTTGTACTGCATTAATATTTAATTAGGTTTTCTAAGTGAATCTGTTGTTTGGTTCATTTCATAATTTTCTTACATTTTTATACAAAAAAAATTCATAAATAGAGAAGAAAGGCTTTTATTTATCGAAGTACTTTTAAATATGATGAAAATTATATTAATAATTAATTGTTGTAGATAAAATTTACAAAACATCTAAAGTAGATTAATATTGTAATTTCATTTATGTATTTATTGCAAATACGATGCTTATAGTTTTACAGGTGTAAAGATATGGACCGAGTTTATATGCAGAGCTTGCTGCTGACCTTTGTCTGTATCTCTATATGCTAGCACACTAGGGGGGGGGAGATACTTCTGTATCTCCCGTTTTACTGGTCCGATTGACAAAATTCAAATTGTGTTTTTTATGTCTCGAAAGCGCGACTTTGGATATTTATTAGATTTATATATAGCATTATTCTAACATATTTATTTTGACACAAAGTCGGACTTTTTCTGAAATAACATAAATTTTTTCCCATATTTTGATTCTATGACTTAAATTATGCCTAGATATTAAATTTTGTAATTTTTTGTGAGAAATTAAAAAATTTTTCTTGCCAAATTTTTTTCAGTTTGCGCCAAGAATAACTCAATTGGCAGAATTCTTAATTTATAGTAATTTAGTTAACTTAATTCTTTTTTATTGATGAACGAGAGGAAAAATGGTCAATCGTTCATTCTTTCAAATAATTTTAAAAAAGTGCGTAAAGCACATTTTCATTAATATCGCTTATATTAAATACCCCAAATTTCAAAACATGTTAAAAAGTAAATTCAGAGATGTAAGAAAAATAAAGAATATATAAAATATTAAATTAGCAGCGTAAATTAATTTCCCTTTTCTATTCTAAAAATAGTAACTTCTATTTGCACTGCGTTATTTCGAGAAAAATCTATGTCATATGACTCTTATGTAGTTTTGGTGATGTAAATGGAACTAAAACTCAACCAGCCAATACTAATTTTACAGCAATATTAACTGTCCAATCAAAATGCTTTGAAAACCAAAACTAACTCAGTCTGACTTGAGATTTCATCCTGAACATAACACACTTTCTTTCCATGCTTTGGCCTAGCTAGACTACTGTTTGTCTGCTGCTGCTTTCTTGCTACAAAGTTATCA